AGAGGTTTAATTCTTGGTCAGGGCACATACCCGGGTTAGGGACTCCATCCCCAGTAGGGGGCGTGTGGGAGGCAACCAGTTGATGTGTCTCTCATATTGATGTTTCTCTCTCTCTCTCTCTCTCTCTCTCTCTCTCTCTCTCTCTCTCTCTCTCTCTCTCTCCTCCCCCCCACTCTTTTCACTTTCTCTAGAATCAATGGGAAAAATATCCTTGAGTGAGGGTTAAAAAAAAACAAAACAAAACAAAACAAAACAAAAAAAACAAAAAACAACAAAAAAAAAACAGCCCATGGGTCAAGCCTTTGGAAGCTCATGATTTAGTGAGAAAGCAGATCACTTGTAAGTGCTTATCAAGGCATGCTGCATTATTTACAGGCCCTGGGCAAAATGTTTAAAAATTAAATGTCAAGCTGGTGACAATAGGACACTAAATTAAGTGTGGTTTAGTTTAACAAATGAGGGGTGTCCGGGTATTATAGAAATACACAGGAATTTACCTAGGATGGAGACTGATTTCCAGAAGAGATGAAAACTGGGCTGACCTTAGAGCATGAAGTGATCTCCCCTACATAGACTTTCTTCTCTATTGTTCAGACTACTGGGTATTGGGAACAATCAGTCATTTTGCCTTAAATGTCATCACCAAGAATTTTCTGCCACATACATCCTAATTATCTACCTCCCTCTGGATCTGTGACACTGTGGTGGACAGGGGGATGTGCTGCCCTTCAAGGACTTGTTGCCCCAGCTGCTGAGGTGTTACTAGAAGGCAGCTTTCAGCTACTAGTATTTGGAGGGAGCCCCTTGTAGGCATATGATCAAGGTGGAGGTATAAAGGCCTCCAACCTTATGGGCCACGTTAGCTCCAGAGTTCCCAGTGGGGTCATCTGAGGTGGTCTGGCCAGCATTCCAGTTTGATTTCTCCCCCTACCCTACTGTTTCTTCCCTTGATTCTAGTGTTGGTCCCAGTGGCATTCCCTAATAAACATCCTGCACATTAAACTCCACCTCTAGATACCAGAGAACCAAACTACAATGGGAATCAAAAAAGGATTCCAACATTGCAGGGGATTATTTGAAAGTTATTGGTTATACAATTGTTTATTTCTAAGTCCCAAAAATAGAATTTATAACGGTGGAAAGGACTGTGTCTGTGAATATGTTTACGTTTTGATTTAAAATCCTCAATTTATAAGGATCAACATGCCCATTAAAAGACACCACATTTTGCAGAAATTAATCCATGAATTTATTGCATTTCTTGAGGAAAACTGTAACTATTTTTTCAGTCTGTACCTGGAATAATGTAGCTCATAAGCCTATTTTTGGAATAGAATGTAATTTCCTTTTTCTGATACACACTTATTCAATATTCAATAAATGAACTTTTGAGAACTAGCTCATGTGGTAATGAACTACATTGGCTGACTATAAACATGGCTTTTAGAACTTCTTTTGTTTTAATTTGAGCTGTTCTTTTCTTTCCAAGTGAAAAGGATTCCTTTCTCTCTCTTTCCTTTTAGTCACATATAGGTGTGTCCATTCCTTCACTACAATTACAGAATGACAAGGAAGTGATTTTTCTTGCGATGTGGTGTCCAGACTATTGTGTACTCTTGATGAAGGTGAATCCTGAAAACACTCCAAAACAGAATTGGTTATGAGAAGTGACTTACATAGTCAAGTGCTAAATCTCACACACACACCAGGGCATCAGATTCTGAACATCATTAAACTTTCAGAATTAAATATGAAACAAATACTGAGGTTTGAGAAGAGGAGCTTCTAGTATTTCCAAACCATCAGAAAGAAAAGCAAGGATTTCATAAGCTTACACAGAGACTAATCTGTTGATAAAATTGACAGTTTACTCATTCAATTGTCACAATACTTATTAAGTCTAACTCACTGCCTCATTGGTGTAAGCTATGTCTTTCTAAGTTAAGACACCAAGCAGTTATACGTTATCAAAAGCATTTAACATTAGATTGACTTTAATTTGTTTGAATCCCATTCATATTAATGAAAATTATAAGAATGTAGGAAGAAACTTTTTGGAGGTGATGGATATGATTATTGCATAGATTGTGGTAGTTTCATGGGTGTATACTTATCTCCAAATTCATCAAGTTGTAGACATTAAATATGTACAGCTTTCTGTATGTCAATCATACCTCAGCAAAGAAATTTCTTATAGTTCTTTGGTTTGTACTTATCCTGGAATTGGAGAAAGGAGATGTAATATATTTTATTGATTGGATAGAGAAAATAGAAACCCTGAACTTTCATGTACCAACAGTTTCAAATGAGGCCATTTGCTATGGACCACAAGACAACTTTAAACAGACTCACATTTTAAGCAGAAATAATTTCCCAGAGGCAAATGAGTCCATTTTAGATGATTAAGCCACTGAATTTGAATAACACAATGAAAGAAAAACAGGCTGAGAACTTTTAGTTAACTCAACTGTGAAATATGATACACAACAGAAAAGTGCAGCAAATAAACAAAGAGCCCAATACTGTTTTTATAAAATTTTATTTTTTCCATTACCATTTTACCCTCCATGCCCTCCTACCCACCTCCTCCCCCCTCAATTAATACTGTTCTAACCACCACCCAGCCTCCACAAAAAGAACATTAGAAGCACCCCAGAAATTCCCCATTTATTTCACCCAACTGCCAACACCTTCCAGTTTCCCAAAGTGGAGAACAATTCTGCATCTGAACATTAGTTTAATCATGATTATGTTTGAACTTTATATAAATGGAATCATAAGTATTCTTTTGGGTCAGGTTTAAGTTTGTGAGATTTACCTGTGTTGTTGATATAATCCATCACTTTCATTGCTGTGGAGTTTCTATGACATCAGTTTATTTCCCATCTGCTGTTGAGGAGCATTTGGATTATTCTATTAAGAACTCTGTTTCTAGGAACATCTTTGAACACATCTCTTAGAGCACATGTGGATACATTCAGAGCGGAATCAGTGGATCGTAGAGTATACAGCTTGGGTAAATGCTGTCCAACTATTTTCCAAAGTCACTTTTTCAAAATACACTTTTTTATTCACATAGTTAGTAGTTGGTGAGTTCCCACTGCTCCATTGGCCCTGGGTTGGTATTCTAAGCCTTTTCAGTATTAGCCATTCTAGTGGGTGTTTAGTGGTATCTCACTGTGGTTTCAGTGTTCATTTTCCTCGTAACCCACAAGAGCAAGCATTACTCCAGTTGTTGGCCATTTGGAAGTTCTCTTTTGTGAGGTGCCCGTTCAAGGCTGTGTCCATTTCTCTAACTGGGCTTTCTGTGTTTTTCTTAATGAGTTTTAGGAGTTCTTTAGGTTCTTAGTACTGGTTCTCAGACTTTAGTCTGCACCAGAATCACCCCTTTGGGCTTAAGGCATGGATTATTGATTCCCACCACCCAAGTTTCTGATTCAGTAAATAGGGAGTGAGAAACAAGAACTTGCACTTCTAACAAGTTCCCAGGTGATGCTAATGTTGCTGGGCCTAGGACCACACTGTTGGAACCAATGTTCAGTGTTTTAAAGGTAGCAGCAATACATGTTTCTTGTTAGTCTATGGCAAGGTCACCTTTCAAAAAACAAAAATCTCAGCAACTTTATATTTGTTCAAGCAAAGGGCATACTATTCTCTCCTTTTTCCTAGAAATGGTGCAACTGAGTTTGCTTCAATGGCAACTATTTCAAACTATCTGAAACCAATCTATCTGCTTAGAATATTTGGTACACCTAATTAATCAAGAGAACCAGTCAGTCAGTAATGGAAGGTAGGTTTTGATTTCAGGAAAATACATTGGCTTTCTAGAGCAAAGATGTAAGTCAGTAATCTAAGAACAAAAATTACAGACATCTTAAATAAAGAAGAAAACTGCCATTTATTTTTTGAGTTTTGTTTCATTAAAAACTCTACGATGATTGCAAAACAGAAATAGAAACTTTTTTTTAACCAGCTTTAACATCTAAAGACAAAACAAACACACACACATTTCAAATATTGCCACTGTTCTAACAAACCTCATTATTACCATTGATTATTATCATTTCAGTCTCCTGAACTACTAGCCTTGACTATTAAACAACCTATTGGTTTACTGGACTAAACATTAACCATATTATTTCTAGATATAAAATGTTCCACAGCTACGGAATTTAGTGTATTTTGGTAGTTTGCTGTGGTGTGTGTGTGTGTGTGTGTGTGTGTGTGTGTGTGTGTGTGTGTGTTTAAGGCTTGAGTCTATAAAACATCCGTGTCTGTTGAAGAGTCCAAATACTTGCTATACGGCGGTACATATACATACATATATATGATAATGTTTGCAACTTGAGGGTGGTTATACCTTATTCTGAGAGGTCATGAGAAACCACTTAAAACCATGACAGTACAACCTTCAGTAACTTAACTCACCATACCATCACCATCAAGAAAAACAAGAGACCCACAGTTCAAAGAAAGCACAGTAGGCCCTAGGAAGTATTGTGGTTTTCCGTTTTACTAATCAGAAAGACATAAACAAAAGTAAACTAACCTGGGTAGGCTCATAAAAGTGAACTTTCTGGATGTATCCTGAGAATATATATATTTATATAAAAGTGTTCGACCAGTAGCTATGACACGCACTGACCACCAGGGGGCAGGCGCTCAATGCACAGGCATGGAAACATGAATCAGACTGATGAATCTCAGAGGGAAGAGGGAGAGGGGATGGTAGGAAGAGATTAACCAAAGATCTTATATACATACTAGAGGCCTGGTGCATGGATTTGTACACCAAGGGGTCCCTGGGCCTGGCCTGCGGGGATTGGGCCAAATACGTGCAGCAGCCCTCCGATATCCCCCAAGGGGGTCTCGGATTGCCAGAGGGCGCTGGCCAGACCGAGGGATCTCACCAGTCCACGAATCCGTGCACCAGTCCTCTAGTAACTGCAAAATTACAGTCAATGTTTGCAATGATTTTTGTTTTTTCTTACCAACTTGGGAGAACCTATGCAAGCAATTTAGGATGAATTTCCATAAAGGCTAACCCAAAAGTTTTCTAGTCAACCGAAGGTTAGCTGGTAGTCAACCAGAAACTTGAATAAGAGTACAACTACACATTCAGGACTTACCAGTAGCAGTTTGGCCTTCTTTGAATATACCACCACCACACTGACTAAAATTACAACAGTTACCATGTCAAAGGCATGCAAATTTAAAAGATGATCAATGATCCCACTGTGTTCTTCCTGTATGGGCGCCTATTTTGAGAAAACATTCTTTTCTTTTTCTTTTAGAACATAATTACATATTGCCTTTCTATACTTTAACTACAACAGACTTTTTTGGGGGGGATGGGTGAGTGGATTCTCCCTACTATAATGCCACTTATACCGAAGTATTTGTTTTGCTTTTCCTATTGGTTTTATCTGTACTATTTCAGCCAGAGACCTGTAGAGGTGAGGGGTGCGAGAACGGATCCCAAGTGTTAATGACAAAATGGCAACTTTACACAGTTTTCAAGTAAATAGAATCCCTGATATAACTGCAAAGAAATATGTAGTTTGGGTGGTAGTAACAAAAAAAAAACAAATCTCAACAACTTTATCTCATAATTCACAAAACTAGCTTTGGCTCTGAGTCTCTTAAGGCACAAGACCTGATAAGCAGTTTTTATTGGTGGCCTGCACTTCTGATTTGGATAAGATAAAAAAAATACTATAACATAAATATAAATAAAAATAATAAGTAATTTTGTTAGTTTGAAATCATTGAGTGAAGTTGGAAGAAAAAAAAATCCAAATAAACTAACATCTTGTATGTGTAAATATTTGTTGCTAGTGTAAAAAATGTATAGTTCAAACAGTGCAAAACTATTGGAGAAATGCCTTCAGAATAGACTTGACATCGTAGAATCACAGTGCTGTCTCAAAAATAGTGAAGGTTGAGGGCTGTCCATTGGAAGCATTCACAACCATATGGCCATTCTGAGTAACATCTGGATAATTCCTTTTGAAGTACACCTGTAATTAAAAAAGAGGCATGAGAGAACATGGGGCAATGCATTTCTGTGCCCACTTCTTCATGTGAAGCAAATCATATCACTCACAGAGGCACAATGAAAAAAACACAGGGATGCTTTTATTCTATAAAGTAGTCCCATTAAAACCTCCGGTAGGGCTGGGCTTAAATGCCAAACAACCAATAGATCCACTTTAGTTCTGATCATTCTGATTCACAGATATGTTTTATCACTACATTAAATTGATAAGCAAAGTCATTTTTACTGACTCAAAACCTGGAGATAAATTAAAAACAGGGTGACAAAGAGGCTGGGAAATGGAGCGTCTGCACGAGGGTTTCTCATTTTCACACATAAAATGAGCACAATAGATTTGGGTGTTAATATCGGGTTGTAATCCCTGTACTTTATAAACTCTGATTGACAACTATTGAAACGCTGGCGTATATGGATGAAATATCCCAGCGTTTAATTTGTGCGGCGAGGTAGTTATAGGGGCCATAGAAATGTGATCTGTGGATAGTGGGGCACGATAATGAAAAGAGAAGCAAAAGCTTTAACAATGACTCAACCAGGCAACTTCTCTCAAATGTAAGATGATACCAAATAATAGGACCGTTCTTTGCCAAGCCTTTGACTTCTTGAATTCTACCAATTTCTAGCTGAACTAGGAGAGATACAGGTTTTCTGATAAATGTATAATCAGAACATAAAGGAAATGAAATGCTGTCAAGGCTCTCTGTTCCACAATCATCAGTTTTTAGCAGCTGTATCGTATCTCGGTGCCTTGACAGATGCGCATAACAAAATGAAATAATGTCAAGGCTTGTGAGCTCTTATCTCAAAATGTGTTCGGGTGAAAAAGAACTTCAAATGTAATTTTTTCCCCCCATAAAATGAATGTGAAAAGTTTTGTCGGAGTCTTTAAAACAGAAAATGTGCCATCTATCTGAGGCTGACTCGTGTCATGAGCTGCGTCTTAGTCATACGACCCTGGATCTATTTTATAAGACCTGGCTCCCAAGGTATTTGTGGGTGCTGTCAACAGAGTTATCATAGGAGACAATGGACTTCACATACAGAAATGAAAAGTGCTGAGAGAGCCACCTTTATATTAAAGTGTACTTTTTCTCTTGCTGCTTACATACTTGCTATCTCAAACACATGGCTGCATCTGAAATAACTCTATATTTTCACGTAGGAGAAAAATAATAAATCCTTCAATAATGATTGGACCCCACTGGGTGAAATCTAAGGCTATTTTGATTATAATGTAAGTATTTAAAAGAAAGTGTTTTTTGAAAGCTAAATTTATATCATCTCCCACCTCCATTTTTTAAAGATAGCCATATTTTGTGTGATTATATTTTACTAGAGGACCAGTGCATGAAAACTGTGCACTCGGAGGGCTCCCTCAGCCTGGCCTGTGCCTTCTCCCAGTCCGGGAGCCTTCAGGGGATGTCTGACTGCTGCTGAGACAGGAGAGGCTCCCACCACCGCCACTGTGCCGTGAGCCCAGCTTCTGGCTGAGCAGCACTCCCTTGTGGGAGCACACTGACCACCAAGGGGCAACTCCTGTGTTGAGCATCTTCCCCTGGTGGTCAGTGCATGTCATAGCGATTGGTCATTCTGCTGTTTGGTCAATTTGCATATTAGCCTTTTATTATATAGGATGTACTAAAAACAAAACAAAACTATTTCTTGGTGAAATTAATAACAGCCAAGAGGCTGAAACTGGTTTGGCTCAGTGGATAGAGCGTCGGTCTACGGACTGAAGGGTCTCAGATTCGATTCCGGTCAAGGGCATGTACATTGGTTGTGGGCACATCCCCAGTGGGGGGTGTGCAAGAGGCAGCTGATCAATGTTTCTCTATCATCAATATTTCTAGCTCTCTATCCCTCTTTGTGAAAAATCAATAAAATATATTAAAAAAAAAAAAAAAGAACAGCCAAGAGAACAAATGGAAATTGATTTTGTTTTCTACTGCTTGATGGTCCTTCCCAAAGAAGCCAGTTACTTTCCCCATAACCCTCTTAATGTAACTTTTTTTAAAGAAGAATATGTTATTATTGCCCTGGCCAGGTAACTCAGTTGGTTAGAGTATCATCTCAATACACCAAGATTACAGTTTGATCCCTGGTCAGGGCACATATAAGAATCAACCAATGAATGCATAAATAAGTGGAACAAGTCAATATTTCTCTATGTTATTATTAGCAACTTTTCACTAAATTGATCTTAGCTTCATGGTCTGAAATACTTGAAATTGAATACTGAAAACATGTGTCCTGTGTACAAAATCCTTGATTTGACCTATCTTTTTCTCATCTGTTGCCAAGTGCGGGCTATGAAGGTAGATGAGATTACCCAACACTTGTTATCAGGGTGCTCGTGTATAGGCTAAGCCTCTCAGCTTTCTATTCTGGAACTCACTGCTGATCCTGGAAAAAAAATCATTGAACCTCTACCCATACTGGCTGCCTCATCTGTGAAATGAGACAATGATTTACCTCACAGGAACTAATTAATGGCTACAAACTGCAGGCTGAAAACACCCTGAGTTAAGTGTTGGGTGCGGTTATGATGCTGCTCAGAGAAACGGCCCCTTAGTCCATGGACAGCAGCAGCATCACTCAGCTCCAATGAAAAAAGAAAACATCTGGGAGGCCTTTTTGTGGATCTCTTGATATTATCTTTAAAGAACTCCAGAGTCATAGTTGAGACACCGTTAATGCAGTGAATGTAGTAACTGGAGAGGCAGAAAGGCAGTTTAAAGACTACAGAAACAGGAGTACTAACTAGTAACATTGAACAGTTACTTAGGCTCTTCTGCCTTAATTTCGCCCTTTGTCAAAAAGGGATAACACCAACTCAGAACAGTGTGTGAAGATTAAAGAAGACAATGACTGTTGGTTTCTTGTCGCTCTCCCCCTCCTTCTCTTGGGGTTAGTTCATTATAATTTCATTAATATAGGTTGAACTATATTGAAGGTTAAACTCTAAATTGTCAATAAAGCCATCACCATGGAATTAGGTCTTATTAAATGCAACAGCAATAAAACTTTCCTGCATAACCATGGCTGATGGCTGGCTTGGTTGGAATATTGTCCCGTATACCAAAAAGATTGCGGGTTCGATCCCTGGTTGGGGCATGTATGGGAGGCAACCCATTGCTGTTTCTCTCCCTTTTTCTCTCTCTCAAAGGTCAATAGACAAACCCTTGAGTGAGGATTAAAAAGGAAGGGGGTGTTCCTTCACATGGATAAATGGAGAGCATTTTTTTTTTTTAGCTATTATTCATTACTAGAGGCACAGTGCATGAATTTGTGCATGGGTGGGGTCCTTTCCCTCTGCAGGTCTCCGCCTCCTACACAGGCACACCAATTAACACAACCTGCACCGCAGTGCCTTGCACACAAGTTTCAGAGCCTCGTCCTCCTCACTCGTCACCGTCACTGCTCAACACAGAAACTGAGTATCTCTGCTCTTCTTACATTTTTTGGTTTACATGTCAAGGATCAGGAGCGTGCCTACCATTTCCCTAGTAGATCTTTCTAGACCAGTGGTCAGCAAACTCATTAGTCCACAGAGCCAAATATCAACAGTACAACGACTGAAATTTCTTTGGAGAGCCAACTTTATTAACTTAAACTTCTTCTAACGCCACTTCTTCAAAACAGACTAGTCCAGGCGGTGGTATTTTGTGAAAGAGCCACACTCAAGGGGCCAAAGAGCCGCAGTTTGCAGACCACGGTTCTAGACCCAATGATCAATATCCTGCATTTCCCCCTCAAACTTTCCAATTTCTGGGATGTACCTTGACAAAACATTTGCATCTCAAATGTGCCGAGCACCAATTAGAAAGGAATGCAATGAAGCTGGAAAATATGAGAATCGGAACCTGTAGGGTCCAGAGGTGTAAGAAGCCCAATCTGAAATCTCTCTCTCAGGCACACGTGCCTGCAGGCACAGGTGAGCATGCACACTTCCCTATTACCCTCCCCCTCCCCCGCCTCCACCACGTCTGCTGGTGCTTAGCAGACCTGACTTCAACCTGGGACGTGTTGTTAAGACCCAGCCATGAAGCTTTGTCTCTGGAGGCTTATAATTGACAGGGGCACAGAGTGCTTGTTAGAACCGCTTGGTGCCGGATCGCGAGGAGAGAACTGTTGAGACGGACTCTAATTACCACCCCGCATGGCCCGCTCACCTGTTTTGCCGTTTCGGTGAGGGCAGCAGCTTCTGCCTTGCCCAGTTGTTGCACCATCTTGTAAAAGAGGCTGTCTTTATTTTGCAGCAAAACATAGGGCTCATCATATTCTTTCAGTCTTCCTGAATCCAAAACCTGTTAATCAGCAGAAAGAAACCCATTTAGCACACAATGTTGTGCAGCAGCATATTATACCTCAGACAATGTTTCGGAAAGAGGCAGGAGAGGGAGAATAGAGAGCCTCTCTTTGGGTGGTAGGCCTGGCGGGTGTTTAAATGGTTTGATTACCCTGTTTTACCAGGCAGACAAAGGCCTCCACCCGACCTTTTATTAGTATAATGTTATAGGAAAGGAAGAAAAGGGGAGGTTTAGGCTATGATTAAGGGCACTCAAGCAGTCCCTTGGCATTCTATATTCTGCCAAGGGCATTTTGGGTTGTTTCCATTAGTTAGCGCATTTAGCTCTCAGACTCTGAGCTTGGAGGGCCATTTATACACATATTCAAGGCTGGGAAGTTTCTTTTTTAAAAAAATATATTTTATTGATTTTTTACAGAGAGGAAAAGAGAGGGTTAGAGAGTTGGAAACATCAATGAAAGAGAATCATCGATTAGCTGCCTCTTGCAAATCCCCTACTGGGGACGTGCCCGCAACCAAGGTACATGCCCTTGACGGGAATCAAACCTGGGACCTTTCAGCCTGCAGGCTGACGCTCTATCCACTGAGCCAAACCAGTTTCAGCGGGAAGTTTCTTGACTTAAGAAAATTAAAAAGTTGAGTCATGACCTGAAAGCAAATAAATTGCTGATTTGGTTTGACAGAATCTGAGTGATATTTGGAAAAGAAGTCAACACTTCTGGGGTTTCCTAGTACATGCCACCTGGTAGGAGGGGACAGCGCCCCCGCGCGGAGGAGACTCAGGCACATCTTGAGGTTGGCTTTGGATGCAATTTATTATTCGGAAAGGGAAAGGCTGGCTGAATGAGCTGCCACCTAAGCAGCTTTGGCATAATTGCTCTGCACAGAAGAAATCTCCAGAAATCCAATTTTCCCTTTGGATAAGACTAAAGAAGCAATTAAGAAATCGAGCTCCAAATTCCAATGATCAGGGCCCACCCAGCGCTCTCGGGGGCAGCCCTGTCTGAGCTGCCGAGGACCTGAGTATCTGTTCACAATAATCTTTCCTTGGTGCTCTCTCTCTCTTTCTCGGGCGGCTTGCCTTCCAGCCATTTGATTGCTTATTAATATGCCCACTGAAACCGAAAGGGAGAGGAAGGGGCTCTTTACTCCACATTTCGATTTATTAGTGGCTTTGGTTAATGGCTTCAGACAGGGGTGGGGGTGGGGGGAAGTCTGAATCAATTGGCCCAAGTGAGGTACCAAGGCAAACAGCTCTGATGGTAAGTGGCACTTGGTTGTTCACTTAGGCCATATTTAGAGTAAATTTATCTTAAGAGAATCTGCTGACAATGTAAAGCAGGACACAGGTTGCTTTCCACATTGAGGTATTACAGTTAGTGGGAGACGTGTATGAGGTCTCTTACAAAGGGCCTTTTCCCCCGTTCATCTTTTGTTTACTACTGTGAACCATTGCTAAGGGCAGCTTTCTCAAAAGAGTTCAAGAATAATTGAATCTGTCACATCCACATAATAATTAAGATGTCCTATAATTTGGCATGACAGTTTAGATGCTCTGAATGTATAATTTACTTAAGCATAGCATTATAGAGTGTAACCACTCCTCCTTGATGAAGAAAAACACACACGCAATTTTAAAATACATGTCTCTCTCATGCTAAAGGCTAAGTAAATAAGTGAATCAAGTTACTTTATATGTAATGAGAAACTTGATATTCTGCAAAAGCAACAAGTAAGCTTTTAAAAATCACCATTTCAGAGATGATGGAGAATGAGTTCTCTAGCTATAAAGATTCACATCATTTTTAATGGAGGTAACTACTACTATCTTGTCCAACTTCCTATCTGCCCAAATTTGATTGAATAGCAAATCTTTCCACTTTCTTGCAGATTGTCTGAAAACACAGGAATGACACTAAGATGAGGAGTTTTCATAATTGACCAATATCTAAAAAGGCAGAGCCAGAAAAATAGTAATGTTCTCAAAAGCAACAGGATTAATAATATAAATGACAGGAAGATCATTTAGGTCTAAATATTTTGAGGCTTATAAGCATTAGCAATTAATGGCCATGTACTGTATTTCATAAGGGGAGTTTTCTTTTCTTTTTAATTTTGTGGGGAGTGACAGAACTGTAGTAATTTGTTATAAGTTTGATAATTTATTAAGGTTAAATTTTAACTTTTGTAAGAAATACTTTAAAGATGTAAAATAAATATACCTCTTTAATACTCTTTTGATATGCTAAAAATACAGTATCTTAACATGAACTATATTAGTATGGACTCACATGGATGAATTCACAAAATCTGAGAGATGAGATGCAATGGCATATATACAATGTAACAAAGCGTATAGCTACCTTAAGACTAATAAAATCACCCCATAATGAGAACAGCAGCCTTTTGAATTTGTAAGGAAAAATAAAAATAGATATGGGTTGAGCATTCACTGTGCCACCTGCTCTAGTCACCACTGTTAATTCTCAAAATAGAGTAGACAAACACAACACAAAATTTCCTTCCTCCTTCCCTTCCTTCTATCCACCCATCCTCCCAGTCAGCATTAAGTGAGCACCTAATACCACTGCACTGTTTTAGGAACAGGAGGTTTAAAACTGAGCCAGACACAGTCTGCAGCCAGAGATGAAGGCTGAAGTACAGTTCAGTTAAAGAACTTGGCTGAGGTTGCAGGATCAGTAGATGTCAGAGCTGGGATTTGAACCTAGCTCTGAACCTGCACTCTTTCCTCTCCATGTGAGTACCCAGGGAAAGGCACTGTTTATTACTGAAAGCAAAATATTTATTTATTTTTATCATAAGTAAAATAAGGGATATGAGAATTTTAACATTCAATTTTCTAAGATCCCTTTCTACATGGATATTATCTTATGCTAACTTTGTATAACTTAAAAAAGTATGCCAATAAACAAAAACATTTCCCCTGTCCACTTTCCGCTGCAATCTATATATAAAACAACTTAACATATGGCTAAACAAGGCTCCATGGGGCGACCAGGCCAGTGTGTGTGTATGGGGGTGAGATTTGTGAGGGATGATCACATGATGAGCAGCAGGCTGCATGGGCAACCAGGCAGGAGGGGGGGGGGGGGGCGACGACAACAGAAAGGGACAATCACACAACTGAGCAACAGGCTGTGTGGGGTGACCAGGCCAGCAGGAGGGTTAGTGAGGGACAACCAAATGACTGAACCAGACTGGCGGGGGATGGTGGTGGTAAGCATGTCAACTCCAGGCCCTGGCACTGTACATGAATAGTAACAGGCACCCAATACAAACTGGCTGAAAGTTATACACAAAGGAACTAAATTCAAGGCATGAATGGGTGACTGCCCAGTGGTGTAGTTTGGCAAAAATACAGGGCAAGATCAAGGTGGGAAGAGTGGGATTAGGGACACAGCTTTGGAGGACCACATGCCTCAGGTGGATGGCTATGGGAGAGAGGGCAAGGAAATTCGAGGGACAGAGGGATTGGGGATAAAGGCTTGAAACTCATTTATATCAAATCTTGGAAAAGAGAGAGGAGGGGAGGCAGTGCTGAGCAGTCTAACCCCAGGTGCTAAAGGAGCTGAAACAAGGCCAGGAAGAGCCTGTACCCCCTCAGCCTTTACATTTACTGGTCTGATAGAGTCTAGACCGTTTAGAACAAGCAAACGTAATACAACTCCCAATTTTTTTTTGTACCAATAGAAAGGTACAACTTAGAATTTTTATTTTTAACATCCGCTGTGTCTGCATTCTCCCTGCAACCCCAATTAAACTGTAAATAAACCACATGTTCCAGTCAGTGTGATGGCAACCCCCCAGCCCCAGAATCTCTCCAGGAACACCAGCCTCAAACTGCTCGCTGCTCTCTAGCAGGTTGAGGAGAAGAAATACATCGCGTTGGATGAGTCAATCAGTTGCATAAGCTCAACGAAGAGGTGTTTTGTCAGGCCTGTGCATCTACAAATATTTCAAGTAGCTGTCCTAGATATAAAACCAAATGGACCCATTGCAAAATAAGTTAATCCATTTAATGGGCAGGATGCCATCAGCGATAGTGGGATGGCTTCGGGGAGAGGTGGGGGGCAGTGCAGGGTGGAGGAAAAGCCTGGGGGTGGGAAAGAGATGCTGGAACAGCTTTCAGTAGGCGGCCGGCAATAAAGGGAGATCCCACTTAGCGCCAAGTAAGGTGGAGTCGGGACGGGAGGGGGTTCAGATGCCCGCTCATGGCTGCCAGGTGATGTAGGGGCCCGGGGACAGTTATCCACCTTGGAAGCTCAGTCCTTTGACTGGTAAAATAGGTGCCAGTAGTTTTCTCTGTGGCAAGTGTTACTCAAGACCCATTCTTAGGTCTTGAAATTGAAGCCATTCTTCTCACCGGGGGAGGATGAAGACTAGGCCACGATGGCCTCCACAGCGGCTTCCCCAAAGTGTCGGCTATCGCATGGAAGCCCCCTCCCTCTCTCCCTGGGGAAGTAGCTTTTCTCCCAGATGGTGCTTTCGGTGTTCACATTAGTTTCTTTTTCTCTCTGAAAATGTGAACGAAATTTCCTGGGCTGTCTTTAAAGGAGCTTTCCTCTACTGAAATGTTCTTACCGTGACCATTGCAGGCTTAAAGAAAAGTTCCATAAGGATGAAAAATAGAATTTAAGTAAAACTCCAGTTAGCTTTGAGTTCTTTTTTTTGGTGCTTTTCCAGGTGGTTCTGTTAAATAGTACCCAGTTTTGATTTCTCTGGGAAATCCCACTAAGGAGAGGTAGGAGTTTGGGAAGAAAGGGTCAAGATTATATAAAACCATAAGATGGCCTATAAACAGAAGAGGTGGAATCTGAGTTCCTTAGCCCCGGTTTGGGTTCTCCAGACGTCCTTCCCCAATAACTCACTAACTACTGATGGTGAAAAATGTTGAACATAGGCGACAAGATAGCCAGAGCAGCTGCAGATTTTCACAAGCTTCTCTTGCTCACACTCCTGGGGAGGATCCTGGGGCGTCATCAAGACGGAAGTGTCCAGGGACCGGAGGAGAGAGCCGTGCTCTTGGCTGAAAACGGGTGACAAGTCACCAGCTAATCCTTAAAACCACAGGGAAGGCGCCGTCCTTAGTGCAGAGATAGTGGAGAGTCTTAGGAGAAAGGCTTTCTCATGCGTCTGTCTTGCTCCACGGTTTTTGTTGGCAACTGAGCCAACAAGGAAGATTAAATTAGCTGTCGTTACAACGACATCATGTTTAATAAAGTTAAAATGGAGAGAACATCTTTGTAAAATAGAACTCTAAGCCGAACACATCAATGCCACTTAATGAACCAAAACTGGGCAAATCCCTTAGGAGAGCCAGCACACAAACAAAGCTATTAATTAGGTCACAGTTGTTTCCCAATGGCCTTTTGTTTGATTCACTCACAGTAAACAAAACCGTCGCAGTCCGTCTTTGTGTAGAAGTATTCACCAGTGCAACAGAATATAATTATTACACCTTGAGCATTTGCAATGACACGACTTTGGGATGACAGCACTGCTGGTTATGCCCTTCATTAGCATCTGTCACTTCCCCAGCCGCTCCCCAAGCTGGCCACCCGCCCTCTGAAGCATTAGGCTTTGCAGCTGATTGACTTGTCTTTATGTCCTTAAGTCTTCCAAAATAACAGAACAGACAAATCACCTGTTTTCTGGAAAGGAAGTAGGTATTCCTAAAGAAAGCAAGAAAATTGCTTCAAAAAAATCGCAGCTTGCCAAAACTGGTTTGGCTCAGTGGATAGAGCATCAGTCTGCAGACTGGAAGGTCCCAGGTTTGATTCTGGTCAAGGGAATGTACATTGGTTGCAGGCACTTCCCGGTAGGGGGCATGCAGGAGGCAGCTGATCGATGTTTCTCTCTCATTGATGTTTCTAGCTATCTATCCCTCTCCCTTCCTCTCTGTAAAAAATCAATAAAATATATATTTTTTAAAAATCACAGCTTTGTGGTTTATTCGGCAGCCTAGACTGAGGCACTAGAGGTTGTCATTCATGGCACTTTGCCGAACAGAGAGCCAACTGATAATCAGAAGCTCTAGAATAGAATGCAGATGGAGGATTTCATGGTCCCCGGAGTGGATGGAGCAGGGAGAACAATTCCTCAACTCTGAAGCTAGGGGATAAGGTCTAATCCTGCCACTCCCTACAAAGGAGTTGGCAGCAAAAACCAGCTCTGTCCCAGGTGCAAACAAGGAGCCAAGTTTTCATCTCCTGGAAGGACACCTCACACTCCTACCCCCAACCCCTAGAGATTGGAGATGAGAGCAGGTAGGGAAGCTGCTTGGTGAAATGCAAAGTCATTGCAGAAAACAAGATGGGCCCCCATGACCTGACAGTGTAGCTTAAAGGGTACGCATTGACCTATGAGCCAGGAGGTCATGGTTTGGTTCCCAGTCAGGGCACATGCTCAGTTGTGGGCTTGATCCCCAGAAGGGGGTGTGCAGGAGGCAGCCAATCAGTGATTATCTCTCATCACTGATGTTTCAATCTCTCCCTTTCCCTGTTTCTCTGAAGTCAACTTAAAAAAAAAAAAAAATCAGCTATCACAAAGGTATCATGCTCTAAGACAGCCCTTGCACTTCCCTTCTCCAAATCAACTTCTCCCTCAATCTACCTTATTCACCAAGAGGCTTATAGCAGCCGAAGCCGGTTTGGCTCAGTGGAAGAGGCTCATAGCCTTACCCCTAGAAACCAGTACTGACTCCTCCCTCTTTTCCTTCAGCTCCCACATTCAGCCCATCATGCAGTCTGCTTGGGCTCTACTTTGTTATCTAGTCCAATCATTTTACCATCTCCGCCTCCAGCATCTCACCGACATCCGGTGGGGAAGAGAGGATACAATTGTAAAAGCCGGAGTGAATGCTGCCTTTGGAGAACTGAGATGTGATCAATGTGGTTTTAACTATAGAGGAAAGAGGGAGAGCAGACTGCACATGCCTGGAAGGGTAGGGAAGGTCTGGGCTATACATCACTTTGTAAAACCATGTGAAGGATCTAAGTAGGCACTGATTAAGAGAGAGAAAATTGAGGTTGCTGAAATTTACTAGGAGATACTGATAAGTACAGTATTAAACAAATGGGCATACTTTGATAAAGGCAATAGAGCTGACAGGTTAAGGAGATACTCATGAACTAATGTTTGGGAATGTGGGTCAAAGTGCTGATGAGTAAGATTTAGGAGTGACCAACTGAGAAGTCAGCTACATTTTGTCTTTCTTTGCTGTTTCCCTAACTGACCATACATTCTAAGGTAACAGTATTTCTAAGTATCTATAATAATAAAAGCATAATATGCTAATTAGACCAGACAGCTGAACGACCTTCCAGACGTCATTCTGACATCCTTCCAGATGAAGCTGCCACGGTGGAGACCCAGGCAGAGGCGGTTAGGACAATCAGGCAGGCAGGTGAGTAGTTAGGAGTTATGAGGCAGGAACGCCGACTGATTAGGGGCAATGAGGTAGGCAGGCAGGCAAGCGGTTAGGAGCCAGCAGTCCCGGATTGTGAGAGAGATGTCCGACTGCCAAGTTAGGCCCAATCCCACAGGGATCCCTGTGGAATCGGGTCTAAACCAGCAGTTGGACATCCCCCGAACAACTCCAGATTGTGAAAGGGTACAGGCTGGACTGAGGGACCCCACTTCCTCCCTTCCCCTGTGTAAGAATTTTGTGCACTGGGCCTCTAGTCAGATAATAAAAGCAAGCTGCTACCTTCAATATTGCAATACCAAAACCCCAAAATAAATCTATGTGGTACATTTAAGAGAAAAGATTTTATTTGAACGGACCCCCAACTGAGCCAAGGATGAAGCCATCTTTCTGAAGCATCAAAAGACTGACAAAGTGAAACGGTGAACTTCACAGTATCAATCATTTACTGTGGGAGAAATATGCTTTATGGGACAGTCTGAGAAATACAATGCTAGATATGAGAATAACAAAGTGACAGGTAAAAAGCATAAATGAAATGTTATTTCCGATTACCATTCAAGAACACAAAATGAAAGGTGAAGGATGCTTAATGCTAAACAATGTTTTTAGAATCTAACAAATCTGTCTTATAATGTTGGAATGTCACATGGTCACTCACAAAAGTCTGTGGGCGTGGCCTGCTTCTTGCTGCTAGCCCAGATGACTGTTGGCACTGCCTGAAGCCTGTTCTAGCACTCTGTAATATGAAGCCATATCTTCAATTTGGAATATTTTCATGGTTGGCCATCTTAAGTAAAAATAATAATTCAAATAAGCTTTTAGTATGAAAATATGAAATGAGTGAGCATATTACTGAATAGCACATCTGAATGTGTAAAGTATTTGGATTATTGTCAAGAATGAAAGGAAAATTAACTAAATGTAGATGTCTCTAAAGCTTTACAAGAAAGAAAAAAACTGAAAAACAGGTACAGAAAAAGAAACTGGAATTCCACAGGTGGGAGTCTCACCATGATCTTGTCACTGTCGATAATGGTGTTCAATCTGTGGGCAATGGTTAGCACCGTGCAATGGGCAAATTTCTCACGGATTTTTTTTTGTATTAACTCATCAGTTCTGGAATCAAAGAAGTTGAAGTTTAGTTCAGTAAAGACAGACTTAAGACTTAAAAATATATGATATTTATATGTCTCTAAAAATCAAATCTTTAAGCATGATCTTGTTCTTTAAAATCTAAGTAGAAAGTCTATTTACAAATTTACCACTTTTCATTAAAAAAATGGAAGATATCCTTCATTTCAAATTACTTGAAACTATGAGAAATTATTCTCTTAGGAAGCCTAATAGTAACATTAACAGCATACATGTTTTGGTTTCTTCCTCTGATTACCAGAATTGATTCTTCATGGGTTATCAAGAGGTATCAAAGAAAGCACTCAGAAAAACTCACTATCATTAAATGTTTCTCATTTTACCATATTTAAAATTCAGATACCAGGTTACATGGAACTCAGCTCTGTACCTGAGATCCACATTTGCTGTTGCCTCGTCAATGATCAATATCCGATTTTTCCTGAGAATGGCTCTGGCAAGGCACACCAACTGTCTCTGTCCGACACTGAAGTTCGATCCAGATTCTGCTAATTCAGTATCCATTTTGCCAGGAAGATCTTCGATGGCTTCTTTAAGTTGTACCTGTTGATGTAGAAAGAAGAATGGTGTTTTCCTCAACAAATTACTATTTGAAGTATTAGGTCTAGTAATAATTAATGTCGTTTTCTAATACTTTTTAAAATCGAATTTATTTAAACAATAAAACAAAATTTAATCAACAATATAGTTGCCGTTGTTTTCTACTACTTGTGCCCAACGCTCAGGAAGCATTTTAATCCCTCTGTTGTAAAATTCTTGTGATTTTGATGCAAAAAATTCGGTCAATGCATTTTTGAGGCATTCTTCATTATTAAATTTTTTTCCAAGAAGAAAGTTTTGCAAAGAACGAAACAAATGGTAATCGGAAGGGGCAATATCAGGAGAATATGCAGGTTGAGGGAGAACTTCCCATTCCAACTGGCGCAGTTTTCAGCAGTGATTCTTGCAGTATGCAGTCGTGCGTTATCATGGTGAAGAATTACGCCCTTCCGATTAATCAGCGCGAGTTCTTTTTCTCTTAAAGCTTGGGCTAACCTTTCCAATTGGGCACTATACACTGCACTTGTAATGGTTTGGTTAGATGGTAAAAGTTCATAATGAAGAATTCCTTTAAAATTCCACCAAACACACAACATCACTTTTTTCGCATGCAAGTCAGGTTTTGGCGTGGGCTGCGGAGCCTCATTTTTGTCCAACCATTGAGGCCGCCTTTTCAAATTAACATACAGCACCCATTCTTCATCTCCAGTAACAATTTGCTCTGAAAATGGCAAACGGTTTTGACGAGAGAGGAGCGAACTGCAAATTGTGACTCTTTGATTACGGTTGTTGTCGGTCAACTCATGAGGAACCCATTTTCCAAACTTTTGGACTTTGCCAAGTGCATGCAATTGATTGGAAATTGTTTTTTGTGAACAATTTAAAGTTGTCGCAAGCTCTTATTGGGTAATTTGAGGATTTTGCACCAAAAGAGCTTGAAGAGCTTCTTGATCAAAATTGGACACATGGCCTCGACCACTCTTGTCATCTAACGAAAAATTTCCCTCGCGAAATTTCTCAAACCAACGCTTGCATTTTCTGGCGCTAACTGCATCTTGACCAAGAGCACTACAGATGTTTTTTGCAGCCTCACTTGCTTTTCTTCCTAATTGGTACTCGTAAAGCATGCAGTGCCGAATATGCTCTTCATCCACCATCTTTTTAGCCCTAGTTTTGCAACAAAAACCAAACCAAACACAAACTTTTTCAAGCAAAACTTGTTAATTGCACTTCACACGTTCTGTAGATACCACGTGTTTGAAGGTTATGTCAATCAATACAAGTCAACGCCATGCAAGATTTTAAACGAATGTTTAAAAACGACATTAATTATTACTAGACCCGATACACAAGCCTCCTAGTCATCAGAGCTTTGGAATCTTTAGGACTTCTTCCATATCTTCCGTGTATGGCCACGTGACAGCGACAGTCATTTCCAATTAGTGTTCTCTCAGAAAGATGGGTAAGTCAACTCAGGACAGAAACATTCTGACTTAAGAGCATAAACTTGAAAGGGAATCAAGATTC